ATGAGAGGGATGTTGGAGGCGGCGTTCCCGAAGTCATCGTTCAGGCCGGCGATGAGGGTGCTAAGAAGAAGCTCGTCGGAGACCTTCTCACCAAGGCACGGAGCTTGTCAACAAGCTTCTTCAGGCGCATGCAATAATCATCAACAGACAAATCAAGCTGCTCGCACCCAAAAAACTCGCCGTGCAAGAAAACCTTGCGTCGGAGCGCGTTGTCGGTGAAGAGGTCGGTGAGCTTGGTCCAAACGGCGTGAGCGTCATCATCCACGGAGACCATCATGTGGAAGAGGTCCTTCGAGATGGTGGTGTAGAACCAACGGATGAGAGTGGCGTCGATGGCCGTCCACTCCTCATCGTCCTCCATGAAGCGGGAATCCACGGAGCCATCGATGTGATCCCGGAGGTTGTACTCACGGAACACAAGGGAGAAGTACGTCTTCCAGACATAGTAGGTTGATCGAGAACGACGGGAACCCGAGCGAGGATGTTGAGATCACGGATGACGACGGGGTCGGGGCCGTCGAACGGGTTGGTGCGGCGGCTGCGGGTGGTGCCGGAGGAACCGGGAGAGGCCATGGGTCCGGGAGAGGAGGTGGTGCGGCGGCACGCAGGAAGGTCGGCGTGGCAGAGGAGAGGCGGCGCGGCGTGGAGTAGGCGGAAGCGTGGAGAAGGGGGAGGGGCGGCGGCGCGGCGGCGGCAGCGATGGCGGCGATTGGATCGCGGCGGCGGCGGCAAGGGTTAGGGTTAGGATCATAGGTATGGTACCATGTTGAAGACGAGAGTTTTTGCAATGCTACTCGATGTATTGATCAGTGCATAGCACACGTATATATGGAGTAAAAAGTGGACCACAACCTCAACTATACAATGACTAGGAGGTGGGCCGAGCTATACAATTACATGCACAAACCATATGTTCAACAGCTCTTAGTCAACGAAATTAATAATCTCCAAAGCTCCCAAGTGAAATTAAACTCGAACTCAGACTGCCACTACTACATGTTTTTTTTTTTGCGGGTTCAAAACTTGTATTACTCAGATAGTATCAGTACAATCCATTGCAACCAAATCCAACACATCCGGAGGAGGCGAACCAATCCAGGTCATGGTTCTAACCTGAGCTCTACCAAAAGCCGCTAGACTATCGTTGGCCTTATTTTGCGACCGCGAGACATGAGTAATACAAGATTGACGGAGAGTAAGGAGATATCTAATCTCCTTTACCAGAAAAGCATAAGCAGAACGATCACATCCATCACCTGTGATCATAGATACCGCCACAAGAGAGTCCAACTCGACTGCAATAGGCAAATCTGATCGTTGTAAAGCATAGGAGATACCCTCCATACAGGCACACAGTTCGGCCTCCAAAGCATCTTTACATGAGAACAGAGTCCTGCATGCCGAGAAGATAATCTTGCCATCCGAGTCTCTCAGAATCATCCCTGCTCCAGCTATGTCACTTGAGACAAAAGACTCATCTGTATTAAGTTTTACCCAGCCATCCATCGGCCTAGACCAAGTCGGCAAATCACCCAATGCTGCACATGCATGCTTAGTGGCACCGTCCAGAGCGATCACCGTCTTCTCTTTAGAAGGGTCACAACGTGAGTTTGACTCCGTCTTTAGAGTGTACCAGCTCATTCCTTACGTACCAGCTCCTCCATAGGATCATCAACTCCACTACTACATGTTTGTTGAACGTTGGTTCTTCCATAGCTCCCAAGTGAAACCGAATTCAACCTCGAAAATTTTGAATTTCACATAGCATCATCGGTCAAGCATACTTTAATTTTTCTCAGAGTTTTTTAGAACCCTTTGAAACACACTTTGTTCTTTACCGATTCTCATCGGTTTCCAACCCTAACTTTGGTCCGCGGCGAATACTCTTCTGATTTGTTCCTTCCTTGCTCGTTTGTGATTCTAAAGACGGAGTCCATCCATTGCGTACGCACTCCTAGTAGTACTACGTATTACCCGTGTGATGTGACTGGGGAAGTACAGCCCGTGTATAAATACGGAGGTTGATGCTTTCAAGTTTGAAAACCGGGCGGGCAAGGTGGTTGGCCGATCCACGTCGGGACTCGGAGCGCCAAAGACAAGGCTAGGGGCTAGGTATGGCAGGGCGAATCCGCTATGCGTGTCGATCGGTAGAAAAACGGTGCCATGGTGGTGTCCAATCCAAAAACGCCTCCACGGCAAAGCGGAAAAGAGCAGCGTGCATGGGCAGGCAAGGCACCGCCCGTTGCGGACCCCCAACGGCCAAGACGACCGGACATCCCTCGGCCCGGCGTCGCAGGTAGCGCGAGCGCGGCGCGACGACGGAGGAAGGTCGGGCCGGAATCTGCCTGCTTGCCATGGCCTCCGCTCTCGGGGAACAGCCCAGGCGCCACGCCACTGTAGCGGGAGCTCGCGGCGTACGTGCGCGCCGAGACGAGATGCCCAGTGGCAGCAGAGATGTGTGCAAACGGCGACGCACAGTGCAGACTCCAGAGCGCACAGTGATCCGGTTCCTATGCGGCTGCGGCGCCGAGCAGGTCGTCTCTGCGAGTTTTATAGACGAGCACTGATTTATCGGGTGAGCTGCTCTTTTTGTTCGGAGTTGAGTTGAACCATCATGGATCCAATGCCGGGCATCGTCTTCTTTCTGGTCCACCGCGAGGGCACTAGCTACTGGATGCCTCAATCAAGTCTACTACACGTATGATTCTGCCCGCATTATTCCATGCACGCATGGCAGTGGCGCATCATGATAGCTCTCGCTGCACTGCACTGCCGGTGCCCAGCCCAGCCTGTAAGGCTGCGTTATTACCTGCCCTCGCTGACTCACCGGTGTGTAACCCTTAAGTTGGGGCCAGCTGAAGCACCTTGTGCGATGTGGAAGACGGGATAGGCGTTCCTGACCCCCGCGTCGCCCCCGCTTGGGCAATACTGGTGGTACTCCAACCCTAGCCGCCGCCGGAGCCGATTCCCCTCCATGCCTTCCTCCCGCCGCCACCGGAGGACGCTGCCGGCCTATGCCCGGTGGCCGACGGCCGTGGCGGGGGTTCTCCTCGCTCCCGTGTCTCACGGACGATGCGGGTCCCCTATGCGCGTGGAGGCGTGACCGATCTAGCGTGGCAACAACGGCTATTGCGGCGGCGGCCTCAAATCTAGCGAAGCGGCGACGATGGTTGCGGCGACGACAGCTGAGGCCACTCCTGCCTCGCGGCAGGCGGTCTATGTTGTGGCGGCACGTCATCCGGCGTTGGATCGGCGGCGACATCAAGGGCCTGGTGGACTGCTTGGCGGTACCTTCGGTCAGATCTAATCTGGTCGGTGCAGCTGGCGGTGGTGGTCATCTTCTCCGTCGGAGGTGGCCGACCAGAGGCTGGGTGGTCGGATCTCGCGATCTGTCATCTAGTCTCAGCTGCGAGTTGGGGAGACAGAGTTGCCGGTGAAAACCGAGCTGACGGCAGATGGTGGCGTTCTACGTCGTTACCTTGATGAAGGCATCGTCGTGTAACTACTGTCGACCCACTGTGCTGCTCCGAGGGAAACTCAAGGATCTGGTTTTTCAGATCGGATGATGGCGGCATGGCGGTGTCGTTTCTCTTTTGGGAGCATCGTTTGTGGAGCTGCGCTGGAAGTCAGAGGTAGGAGGTGGAGCGGCTTCGTCTTGCATGGAGATTAGGTGAAGATGTCAAGTCATGCCTGGCCGACGGGTGCTACGCTTTGTCATGCCTGATCGGCAGGTGCTATGCACAACAGATCTTCCAGAGACTTCAAGCTGTGTCGATTGGTGGTACTTGGCGGCATTGGTGCTGAGGTGTACCGCCGGCGACCGCGACATGCTCATCGTTCGCGCGCAGGGAGGTGGTGGCATTGGGCGCCATGCTGAAGTCGACGACGGCTAGACCGGGTAAGGATGATGCGTCAGTACAACTCTGAAGTTGGAATGGTGGCAGTTGGCGGCGGCGGCCTCTGAGAACGCGTTGGACCGGTGTGTGCCCTGTACCTGGCAAGTGGCTTGGTTGGGGCCTCAGGTCATAGATGTTAGGATTGGCTGCGAGGTCTGTGGTATTAGGTCCGGACTATCAGCACCCCTTCATCAATTGGATAGGAGTAGCGACAGATGTTGCCTATATGATTGATTCAGACTTACTTATTTTTTTTATAAGGTCTTATGCAAAAAATTAATAAAATAGATGTATGCATCGCCCAGATGCAGTGGCCGAGAGTCTTCCTCCTTTTCTAAAAAAACCCTTAAGTTGGAAACAAGGGGTAGTAGTAGCACCGAACCATCTATGCATTCTACAGTAGATAGCATATGTGCAGAATAATATGCTAAATTTTGTCACAAATAGAAGCGGTGATGTCTTTAGCTTTCATCACAAATTGTACTATTTCCAGAGCACAACATTTAATCATCTTTTTTATCAAGACATACCTATGCATTGACGATGGAAAGTTTATGCTTGTCTACTTGGGACCATGCTACATGGTAAGGTCAGGACGTCATGAATTTGCTACGAGGGGAGCACGTACTATCTAATCAGAACATCAGAAAAAAAAATAATCAGAACATCAGAAAATGTGAAAAAAGAGAACCTCACCACTGTGATAGCTGAAGCCTACTGCCTGCAAAGCAACATGTGGTTTCTGGGGAAGTAGGCTAAATGCTCTTCTGGTCTCTTTATTAAACGCACCCAACACGATTCAGTCCGAACGAACAACGGTATTTACACAATGTCATCACGCTGAACGAGACCTCGAGCATCGCAATTATGACTAAATGAGGGCTAAAACTCCGGTGAGATCGATCCTAAACCTGTCCTTGAAGTTTCAGAAAGAGAGAAAAGAGAGAGTACGTTTGTCTTTCAGAATCATAAGCTAGCTAACCGGCCAATCTTTTCTGAATTCAAAATTGCAGCTCCAAACCCGGCCTCTCCGATGCGCCACGGACGCGGTGAGACTAGCTCTTATGCTTGATGATCCGTATGTACTTAGAACTCCTTGCTGCTTCAGATGTCGGCGTGGTCCACGTGCCGTTGGTGGCTCGACGTCTCCTGGTTCTCCAGCGGCATGTACTGAGCCATGATCGCGCGGATCTCTGAATCCATGTAGCTCTGCCATCACATTATTTGGTAACAGCAGAAATATATATGAGTCTCACATAAATCAGTGTAAAGTCTTCTGTAGCACAGAGTAGCAATATCTTTGAGCATTTTACCCGTAGCCGATATTTGTAGACGGCGTATGCTCCAACTCCCGCGAAACCGAGGCCGAAGAAGATAACCCACATGAACCCCCATCCCACCGACGAAGTCGCGACTTTGCCTGCGCCGATATTGGGGGCGAAAACCCCATCAAATTAGCGTGTTGTTATAGACAAAGGAAGGACTGTTTGAAGGTGCTACTACTAATATATTCCACATTAACACCTTGCAATGACCAATGAGAAACTAGATATATGATGAGACCTGGACCATAATATAGCGAGGTCCCAAAAGGAATTCAGGCTAGGCAACTCACTGATGCAAGTGTCATGCTCTCTCATGTACAGCATGTTGCTACCACCGCAGCCACACTCGTAGCTTCCCCATGTGTTCTCGCAGCTGCAGTCCTTGCACTGGCAGAAGAGCCTCTCTTTGCATTCATCAACGTCTGCAAGCGCCAAGCAAAAAAGATATTGTGTATAAGAAATTACTTGAGAAGGACCTTCAAAAAAAATTACTTGAGAAGCTCAAACAGTTCAGCATTTGAGCCATTATTCTAGGTTTGCCGGTACTGGTAAAACATGCAACAATACTGCCCACAAGGTTGCAGAACAATGTTCCTAATGGTGATACCTTCGCAACCGTGTACGCCGTCACCCTTGAAGCCTTGCGGACATTTGCAGCCCTTAGCTTGCTCATTCTGTAGATTTCCAAAATTCAGTTTAGTACCGCACACCGAAGACCCAAGAAAGAAAACTGCAATCTGAAAGAGATGATCTTATACCGAGCACGCGGAGACAGACTTGCCGTTCCTGGTCTCCTTCCAGCAGCCTCCGTTGTTGATTTGGCATCGGCCAACACCAGAAGCTGCCAAACCCATGAACGCATAAAATGTGTAGGCTGTACGAAGATCATTTTGATTCGGTGAAGAAAGAAGTTTACCTTCACAGTGGGTGTACCCGTCGCCAACGAACTTGACGCCATTGACAACCGGGCACTCGCAAACCCGCCCACGGAAGGTATCCTAGGAGATGTTACCCATGAGATTAATTAGAATAAGGGTGAGGTCCTCAACAATGTCAGCAGCATTTTCCCAGTGAAGCTGTACCTTGCACGCAGTGAAATTAGTATTTTTGTCCAGCCAGCAACCTCCATTGTTTTCCAAGCACTGATTTGTTTGTATGTCTATGCAAGAAGATATGAAGCCCAAAAATCATAAACCATGAAGAATGAAATCCAGGTAGGTTTATTCCACAACAAAAAAAAAGGTGCAAATCCACAAACCCTGAGTCAAACAGATATCGGGTTCGGTCGTCTCCTCAAATCCCGAGCATATCGCTCGTAGCACCGCCCTTTTATCCAGTTTCCCTAAACAAGAAAATGAAATAAACACACGTTCAAAAAGAAAAGTAAACATAAACAGCATTGAGCTGAAAAGAAATGAAGAGCGGGAGATTGGACGCACCTCTGTACTGTCTGTTATTGACGACGAAAGTCGGCAGTATGGTAACATCCCCTCGAGCACCATGACCGATCTGAAGGATCAAAGGCATAGATATCAATTCGCCATTAACCAACGAATCTGCTATGGATGTTGAGCTTATTATCAAGAGACTCACTTGAGCATCTTGCTCTGCTTTGAGCACCGGGTTGTCCTCATCGGCGTCGGGGTCTCCAACGCACTGGGTAATCTTGTCAATGTCCATCCCTGTCAGAAGATAACCGGACACATAAACAAATGGCTAATCATGACTCATCGCTACAAACAATAGACAGTACTCCCTCCATCCCATAATATAAGAACGTTTTTGACACCAGTGAGCAGAGTCAACCGCACGCACCAAGGGACTTGATGACACCATGAGCGCAATCGGTGGTGTACTTCTTCTCCTTCATGGGGCACCGGATGGCGAAGTCGTGCACATAGTCCCACCACAGCCACGGCTTGCGGCTCTCGTTGGCGACCTTGAAGAGGCAAATCTGGATCAAGTTCTGCACCACGACATCCTTCCCATCATACCCGGTGGTGAAGTCCTGCTCGGGGTCGGGGGCGCAGTAGCGGCCGTGGTTGATGCACTGCGACCGGCACTGCGCGCTCAGGACGAAGGCCTCCGGGCAGTACCAGGTGATGTAGTGCGGCGCGAACTGGGTGTAGCCGCGCTGCTCCAGCACCTGCGCCACGCCGCGGAAGTCCCGGACGAAGCTCATCTGCATGTCGCATTTCGCGCCGCACTCGTCGTTGCTGTTGGTCCAGAACTCGTACTCCACGCGCTCGTCCGGGTGCGGGAGGGATTCTCTCCAGTCCAGGAGCACGTTCACCATGTCGCCGTTCTCGAGGGCGGTCTTCAGGTCGTCGCCGAAGCGCTTGGAGACCAGGGCTGAGGGCACGGTGATGTTCTCCAGGTGCTCCTTGCCGCTGGACTCTGGGGTGTCCATTGTGATGAGGGGCTCTGCCCTGTCGTCGGCGACGAGCACCGCCGCCGCTCCCGCCGTCTGCGCGTTCCACCCCTTGGTTGTGAAGTAGCAGTCTGCACGTTGCAAAGAATTCAATCACGACTGTTCTGGGTAATGACTGAAAACAGTGCTAGCCTGTGAGGTTAACACAGTTAAGAAGTATAGGAGAGAGAGAGGATTTAAGTTGGTACCCAAATAAGATAGGAAGATGATGGATTTAAGATGGTACCACTATCATGGCATTTATCTGCTCTGTTCAACAACTATGGCTGAATGGTATTATGACACACCTAATCAAACTCCTCTTATGGTGATGGTGCTGTGATAGAGATTTCCTTCTTTTGGGCATTACCCTTGTTGATTTTATTTCACGACAAAACTAAGTGAATTTCTTATTTATTGCAAGTAGAGTGATAAAGGTGTTAACAACCCAAGAGTGGTAAGAGACCCCATCCAACACACGGCAAAGATGTGCTGAGTATCTGATTTATATAACGCAAGATGCGCTAAGCACCTAACTGAACACAGTTATGCAACAATGCAGGTACGTACCTGTGCACTCAAAGAACATGAGCAAAACATGTGCTATTTAGTTAAGAAAGTACGTAGGACCAAACTACATACACCAAAATGTCCAACAGAAGGAAAAGAGGGTAGCAACTAACCATCTGAAACCTATTCCTTTAGCATGTCATATATAGATAGCTTCTTATATATGCGGGAGCCGTGCCGCGCCGCGCCGCGTCTCTCGCTGATGAAATTAATTCACTCCAAGAACATGACCAAGACTGAATCCATTTTTCATACATATACTATAAACAGAAGAGATAGATAACCCATATTTTCCAAGGTCCAAATCCTATGGCCGGGTTCCCATTTTAAAACGTGTGGATTTTAAACATCTACTCCGTATGAGCTAGGGAGAATGAGAAAGTGGGTGTATTAAACCATTCGTGTGGAAACGCACGCGCACCGGCGGTTAAATTAGAGGATGGATCTGACCTCCCAAAGTGGAAGTGGAAGTGGGATGAAGAAGGAGAAGAAAAGAAACCTCCGCGGTCGACGAGGAGGAAGACGGGGAGGCCGCCGGCCTTGGGGTTGAAGGAGAGGCCGAAGTCGGCGAAGGGCTTGCAGGCCTTGGTGTTGGCCTTGGGGTAGACGACGACGCCGTGCATGGTGCCCCCGTACTGCGGCATCCCGAAGTTGCCGATGGCGCACTCGTACACGCCCCGCAGCGCCGCCGGCGACGTCACCCGCAGGCTGTTCTTCTCCACCACGAACCTCCCCTCCACCACCGTCGCGAGCGCCAGCACCGACACGAGAAGAAGAAGAAGCGGCGGCGGCGGCGGCGCACGTCGCCGCCACCCCGCCGGCGACGATCTCCCTCCCATCTCGATCACCTCGCTCGGTGATCCGATCCCCTTCCCCGGCCAACTGCTGCACACGACGATCGAACACGATCGAGCCGCGCGCGGAGGAGGGTCGATGGACGAATCGATGATCTCGGGAAGAGAGGAGGGTGGCGTCTGAGCGGAAAAGGCGAGCGTGGGTTGAGTGGCAAGGGCGGATGGATTTGACCGGGGGTTGGGAGGGAGAGGACGAGGGAGAAGCAGTGTAGTGAGAGAGAGGAAGGGGGAGGGCGAGGTACGTGGCGGCCTCCTCGTGTGGGGGTTGGAACGCTTCCAAGCCTCCCGCCTTTTGCTTCTGGTGTGTGTTTGTGGCCGTGTCCGTGCTCGCGCGCTGACGGGGAAAGCCACACCTTTTTCGGACGCTGTCATGCTCTTTCATGCTCATCCGAGGAGAAAGACATAGAGCGTGCCGTGCATTGCATGCATGTGTGGTGCGCGTGAGGGAGGGGCTTCCGGCCGGCACCGGGCGCCTTTGCGTGTGTGTGGATCTAGCAATGGGGGGCGTACGTGGACGGTCAGTATCGATCGAAACCATGGGCAGGCGGATTTTCCTTGATGAATACAACATCTTGGGGCGGCAGAGTTGTTGGGAATATGACTGTGCACAACAAATGTGGTTCGAGTCGGTGCGTTACCCGTCTCCGTCTTTGTTGTTGTAACTGAGACTACAAAGGTGCGGTTTTCTGGCTGAAGAGTGCAGACTACCACCGGAGAAGTGTGCTGCGATTTGGTACACATCGTTCTCAAAACCTTTTTCCTTTTCAGGCGAGAACACGGCGTTATGATCTTTGTCGAGTTCTACAAGTGATTTCGATCTCAAGTTTGTTAGAATCTTGTTAAGGCTACCTACGGCGGAGGTAAATCTCATGGGCTTCTTCTTTCGCGATGAGTTAGTTAGTTCAACAAGGGACACCAGGCTCGACACAAAATACCACGGCTGAGCGAGCCAAAGCTCACTCTTTGGTGACCATAGCAAGAGAAATAAACAAAAGCACAGTTTCTTTCCTCTGTGACGGAAAATAAATTTACATGATCATTCCCCTCCCATGGTGAGGGTTACATGCAACGCAAGAGGAAACCTACATCTGGATGGAAAATCAAACAAGGGATCACGAGGGTCTTGTATATTATTGGCTGGGTTGTCCAAACTCAGAGAATCATCCTGAAAATGTACGCATCAAAAGCTGTAGCCGTGCACCCCCATAGACACTTATGCCTCAGGCTCGGGCTTCTCGAAGAAGGTTTTCTTGATCCAGTCAAATGGCTGCAAACAAAATCAAAAGGATCTTCAGTATCGTAGAGACTGACAAACTGAAACTAATAGCGAGATGACCATGACAAGAAAATTCAGACGAAAAACAGGTTAGCAACAATAATTATGACTTTGAGGAGGGCAAATAAAGATGCAAGGTGCGACGGTACTTGGAATTGATCAAGCAACTAATGGAATCGGTTAAATAGAGTTAACACAAACAGCATAGGCACACCATGGATCTTCATCATGATTTTAGTTCCAGGTTTTCACCAATACAGCAAAGACCAGACACCACAGGGGACAAAAGATGCGAGGAAGAATTTTTGTACCAGACAGGCAGACTCACTCACTATGTAAAGTAGCTAGGCCAAGTCATAGAAATTGCCTCAACCACTGAATGTTGACTATGGCAGAATGGATCCTTAGATTTTTGTCAGAGTAGAGGAAATAAAGTTCCATCGCATCACAAGGCAGTAGGTACCAGTTTCAACCAAAAGAAATTCCTAACATTTGACTTTAAAGCCGGCAACATAGCCCGTAAAACCTAATAAACAGTATGTACAGAACTAGATACTAAGTTCATAGCAGTGTAAGCATACATGACAGTATTAAAAAAAATTACACATACATGCTCCAAATTTTCATGCATAACAGTCAGAAATAATGGAATACGCCAGAAAACATATTCAACAGAAGTGCCTTTTTAGAGAGGATCTACATTGATCATGTTTGAGACCTTCCAGGAGCTATTAGGCAGAATGCACATCTTAGTTATGTGAAGCTAAAGGCAAAGAAATCAAGCTGCCTCGGCAGAAACTATCAGGAGGAAGTGAAAGTTAATTCATGTCACCAAGATTGAACAATTAAAACTATATACTATTACCTATCAAAATTTTGCAAAACTGGAACTGTACTTTGCATCCAGGTTCTGTTACACTGCATAAGTGTTCTAACCAGTACTCCCACCGTCCGGAATTACTCGTCGCAGAAATGGATGTATGTTAGACGTATTTTTAGTTCTAGATACATCCATTTCTGCGACAAGTAATTCAGGGCGGAGGGAGTAGAAGTGTGCCCTGTGCTAAACTTGCTTGTCAAATACTATCATGTTAGCATGATGTAGATAGGGCCATAGCTACTTCAGCATTTGCCTTGAACTATTTATTGCAGCACGTTCCTATCACCAAGGCACCTTGACAAACAGGGGTTCGCCAGAATAAATCTGTTGCCATCACATAATCACTTCGGTCTTCTCCTTCACCGTATACAATCCCAACGGAGCACTATTAAGATCCAAACAACAATTTTGACCACGTAATAAACTTCAGATAATCCCTCCCAGATCACACCATCGCAGCTCAGATCGCCGGGCCCGAAGACCGACCCAGCACGCCGCAGATCTAGGCCAACAACAAGCAGCTACACAGGCATGGCAAGATCGGATCTGGAGAAACCAAACCCTAACACCGATATGACAAACTACCCACGGATCGAGCGGCGGATGCGAGATGAAGCAAGGCTCAAAAGTGGCGGACGGTGGGTGCAATCGAAGGCGTAATCGCTAATTGACGGTTTTAACACGGACCTGGACGAGGTAGATGGCGGCGCTGCCGGCGAAGATGCCCCAGGTGGCGAGGGCGGTGACGTCCGTGGGCTGGATGCGGCGGGAGGAGAGGAAGCGGGAGAGGGTGGAGCTGGACGCCGGGAGAGCCATCGCCGCCGTTGATTCGCGTCTCGCTGCTTTTCTCTCTCTCTTCTCGGGGGCAGGTGAGGAGATTGGGCGAGAGGAAGGAGAAGACTTGTTAAAATGCTCCTTGCGCGTTCTGATGGGCCTATTCAGAGACAAGGGAGGAAGGTGAATGGGCCCAGTCCATCTCATGGGCCTAAAATCGTATCTAGCCTCTTCGGCCATGAGGCCCAAACCATTCCACGCTGTCAAAGATTGGTGGAATGACGTCATTCACATCCATGGACACCCGTGCAAAGCATTGGCATCCCTCTTGATATTCACGACATGGAAAATCTGCAACAAGAGGAAGGCAAGGGTGTTCCAGAATGTGTACGCTCCACCGATGCCTATCCTCGCCAACATCCGCCGAGAGGCTGCTCATTGGGCCATCGCCGGCGCGAAACATTTCAACGCAATCATGATGACACAAGAGTAGTTGTTTTAAGGCCATTTTGGCGCCCTCGGGCGTGTGTTCTAACTTTTAAAGCTTCTTCTCAATTAATGAAATGCGGAAAAACCTTTTGCCCATGTTTCATTTTTTTTCTTTTTGGCTGAAAGAGGTCTGCAAAGCTATATCTAACGACACAACTTATAGTGAGAGACAACGGGCATGGCAAGAAAATACATTGGTGGGCGTGATAAAAGTTATGCTTTCCCAACAATAAATCTGGTATGAGGTCTTGAGATTTTTTTTTGTGGGCGAAGGTATCGAGATATTCACTCTTTTAACTTGGCAATGCTTGCTAAGCAAGTGTGGCGCTTGTTTGGAATCACCTGATTCCTTGTGTGCTCAAATTCCTCGGGCAAATGGATAGTTGCCGAGCACTAAACCAAAGAAGGGCTCTTCCTTCGCCTAGCAAAGCTTATTTGTAGGAATACAAACTTCATAAAGTTTGATCAAATTTATACTTAAAAATATCAACATCCATAATATTAAATATATACAATATAAAAAATAATTTCATGATGCATTACATTTATTTGATATGATGAATGTTGATATTTTTTTCCTGTAATTTTGACTTGAGAGAAAACTTATATGCAGAGTAAAAGGAAACAAAGGGAGCATTTGGAGAGTGGACAATGGTGAGAGCATTAACCTTTTCGTGAATTAACCAACACCGCTCGTATTTTACATTTGCTACTTCCTCCTCTTTGCCACGGTGTTTCCTTGCATCATATACCCTATTTGTGCTCTCACTACTGTGCGGCATAGATGGCTGGCCATTCATTCACTTGACAGGAAAACTCAGCAGGATGAGCTCGAAGGAGACCCAAGAACAATGTCATATTTACAGAGCAGGCATTATCAGTTATTGTGATGGATCATGCCCCATTCGACCAACCTCTTCATGGGCCTCTGGTTCAGCTAGGTGGTTAAGGTTCACATTGTGGGATCAGCAGAAACTTGCCGCACAGGGGAGCAAGCGTGGACACGGCTGTAGATTATATTTTTCAGAACTTTCTATATGTTCAATTTCAGAATAAAAAGAATGTCTGGCTTCAAGTGTGTTGATGGCAAAAAGAAATTACAATTTGTCAATGGGAAGTATCTTCAGTGGTCTACCGGCCTTCATCTTAGGACCCCAGTGTTTTTCAGGATTAGGTAGAAATCTCGGGCTCTTCCGTGCAACTAAACCCCCGGTTGCTTGAGAGAACGATGCCTGGTAGTTGTCAAACCAGTAAAAAAAAGGGACACAAATTAGATATAGGAAAGTAATCACTGAAATCAACTGGAATACTGAATGGAATAACAGAGGCTTCAGAAGTATGAAAGGTCGAATTGTATAATTGCTTAGTTTATATAACTTCTGTCCACAGATAAGCATATTTCTGGAATAATCACTACACGGGAAGTCAGGGAATATATGTCGGCGAAGAGAAAACACCTATCTTAATATATGGAATGAACAAAGTGGTGGCTAAATTGTGACTGGTGTACAAAACAGAGCAATAATTGATCCTTCTAAACCAATACAAAAATGCAACAGTTTGTATGCTTCCAGTTAGTGCAACATCAGGTCAGTATTAGGTCTCTGCGCACAATAATATGAGGTGTCTCTACAGATGGTTTCGGAGATTTCAGCCGTTTCTATAATTTTGACCAAAGTATCCAGAGACATTTAAAACCAGCAAAATAGACAGGGTTCTACCAGGAGAGAGCTAGGACCCAGTAAAAATTGATCACTTCTGGTTACTTGTACCAATTGAAATCCCAACAGAGAGCTTGACTAGTGCTAGTCTGGATCGTGTTGCTCAGAAAATCATGAGGCCAACCCGTCAGGAATAACAGAGATACATAAAACCAAACATCAACGGTACAAGGAATGGCTTGCTTTCATCAAAACATAACATTCAGATAACAATTAGAACATTCGGGAAACAGAGCGCCGTTAATGAGAAGAGCCCTTCCCTTAGCTCAAGCTTAACAAGAGTGGAATATTAATACTGTGTCCAAGTCACTCATGGTTAGCTTCACATAGTTCTGTCAGATTAATACAACAAATAAACACAAGCTTCTGATGTCTGATCACAACACCATAAAGTAAAAACTCAAGCTTAAAATAAGCAAAAAATTGCAAGCATATGTAACTCATTTTTGCATAGAAACATTTTATTTCTCATGCATTGTTCATAAAAGGATACAAAGCTGTGTTTTATGATCTATACCTGCAATTGAGGCTCTTGGGAAAGTATCCTGCTACCTGGAAGATTCTCAGGTTGAGATTTTACCGGGTGAAGCTTGACCTGCAGGCACAGGAAGCCAATTAATGAAACAGTCTGCTGTCTCTGATTAACCAAGAAAATCTGAGATTTCTATCATACCCAACATCGCATGATGTCCCAAATTACAGACATTGGCGCATCTGTTTTCAGAGCTAGCGGATCCGCATGGCTACCTGATATTTGATACCCAGCATTTCTTATAGCCGAATGAAACATAACCATGGTTGGATTAGTGCACTTCAATGTTGCACATATACTGTGAAGACTGACGAATAAAGGTGCATTGGGCAATTCCTGCACCAGAAAATCCCTTGTGATTTATGGATCCAATATAAACAACAGAATGTTAACATCTCACTGTATGTTTGATTCAGAGATTCTTTATTTAATACTATTTCAAATCAGGCCATTTATTTTAGCACAACATCTTGTCTAAGAACTAGAGGTTATGGCTCCCAAGAAGAGCTGACCTGCTTGGTGGAAATGGTATTCCAAATTGCCATAAATAAAGTTAGTGTTCCATGAAGGATGCCAGCTGCTGAGAGTGAAGGTTGATGTTCTTTCCTACCAGATACATATCATGTAGACAGATTGTTGTCAGGAATGGCATTGTTCTGGTGCAAGTTGCAGATTCTGACATTCCCGAGAAGAAGTTGCAGATTCTGAGCACAGTGTAACATCCCAGATGTCTCCCCTACCTAGCGATGCTAACACACTATCTGATTACCACCAACTCTAGGAAATACTCAAATTTTGGCAAAGCTTCCTGTGTTTATAGGGACATCCACGGCAGACAATTTAGAATTATAACAGATAACATCCATATGACTCGGTGGTAATCAGATAGTGTGGTAGCTTTCACCAGGTAGGGCAGATATCTGGGATGTTACACACAACACAGGGCATCCAATGGGTTTCCAGAATGCATTGCAGGCAGGCCATTTACATAAAGATTTGTCGCTACCTTTTGGTCTGGGAATGTTTAACACCTTCCTAGAATCAGATGCAAGCAAGTCTATATCACTTCAATTGGAGGAGTGTGTAAACCAAGGGTTAAAAGTTATACTCGAAAAAGCAAGGATAATGCTGGACACTGCCATTAACTCTTTCCATATAAGTTTCTATTGCAGAGTGTGTAACCATGTAGCACGCATAGACCTCCTCCAGTTAACGCATCGGTGCACTGGAACGAATACTGATACTCAACCAGTGGGCAGCCATTCTGCTGGACTTTTAGTCTAATGGAAAGTTCATTTTCGCTATCAACAAAATCAAGAATTTATTCAGTATTATTGTTCTTTTTTCTTTTTGCTAGTGACTTCGCCTTACAGAGATATGAGGTATTTTAGTACACAGAACCCGAGCCTGACACTAAAAATAACCATACAAAGTGATTTAAGGGAAATATATTTGCATGCTCATTTGCCTATGCTGCCAACGTGACACTTGTACATATATCATTCAAGTAATGAATCAGAATATATGCACATCCGCGAATAGCTTCTATCCTATCAGCTTCTTTCTAAAACAATTCTGTATTAAAATCATTAAAATTCACTAATCTGTACACTTTTCGTCCTGTTCATGTTTCATTTTCTCTACCGTATAATCAGCAGTCAACATAGGCATAACCAAAAGAGAAGACGAACCAAAATAGTACCTCTGATACTGACGTTAGTATAGCTGAAATTTTTGCATAAGCTTGATATAAACCACTAGTTGCTCGGATATTTGATAAAATGGAAGCAGCCCAATCCCTGTCATGTATTGGATCACTCCATATAGGCCCCCCCATAACAAATTTACCGCCACATTCCGAACACTCTTGAGGCACAATAGGGCAAAAATTTGGTAGAGGAATATTCCTCTTATCCTGGATCAGAGGATCATATCCATAAGCATGCCATGCAAAACAATGAAACAAGAAAAGAGGAGTCTACCTTTGAGTTTATTCTTCCAACATTTTGTAAGTGAAATGAATTGCAACCAACACATTGATATACATGTGAAAATTTGAGAGGTGAGCTTTTCACCGTGCTAGCCGACCTGCACAGTGAAAGAGGCACATTGGTAAGATCAATTTGTGGGAAACCATATTACAAACACCAAGGAGAGGCAGAGGCAGGAGACAACGTGAAGATTCGCACAAAAACCCTAATGTAGAAATCCATGTGCACTGATATGACAGGAACTATATAGCGCTTGTGGCGGATCGCATGTGACTGCAAGCAAAACAAGGAAAATGAATTGATGGATCGTCATAATGACTATGTGAATAGAAGAGACTCTCAGGTCTGACCTCGATGCAGGCAAGAAGAATCCTCAAGGCCATCTCATGGCGGTATTTGCCTCTTACTGGATAAGAACCATATCTGCAGGTATAGATAACTGATATGGTAAGAATTAAATGATGTAGTCATGCAGTTGATGATTGATAATTGAATATTAAACTGACTTGGAAAAGCAAACTTCTGCATTGCCCCCAGCAAGGACTGCCATGTCTGTAGCTGAGCACATCAAGATACCACCATCTGCAACACATTGAACTGCTGAATCAAGGAATGCAGCTGGTGATCCATAAGGATCAAGATCAACCTGATTCAGCAAGTATATAGGACATCAATACAGCATGATACGGATGCATATTATCCTCGAACGCGAGGAAAAGTGACCATGTGTAGATGGCAACAAAAGAAGAGGATATGATATGATATTAACAATTTACTGCAAAGAAGTAGTTCCGTTGGTCAATGTGTCACCCTGGCATGTGTGCAATCAAAATTCACTAACTTTGACAACATACAGAAATATCTATATTGGTTGCATGGAAAGGTGACAAATAGACCAGTCATCATTTACCGAAAGTACATTCATAACACTGTCCTTTCAGACTTCTTTGGTAGTGTCATGAAGCTAATGCACGGCGAAGATGGCCAGGACAGCCTAGCATGAAAAGATGAGATACTAGAATGGGGATAAGAATAACATCTATATAAAGGGATGTCTGAACCAATTACCGACTAAGCTCACTGGGATACATACTATACTTCTACTAACTAACACAATCTCTAATATACTTCCCAATTGATTGCAGATTTAACGTCCTGATTTTTGCTGGACACCGGACTCTCGCGAAATGCTGCTACTGGTGTTGGTTTCTGACTCCCAAATAACCTGACCATCTTGCTGCTGGAGTGCTGGACACACTGGTCGTTCTTGCCGCACATGCAGTTACTGCTGCCACTATGATACTCTTACTGCCGGGCCCATTGTCCGCAACATTATTGCAAAATATAATAGTTAAACTTTATGTGTATGGACACCATACATACCAAAATTCACATACTTAATATTTATGAACAAAGGAATTGCCATATTACAGCAATGATGTGAGTGCGCTGTGCCACTATTTCCTATATGTAAGAAAGTAAATAAAAAAAATCTTGGCACACCAAGTGTTTGATTTCTATGCAAGACATAAGGCATTACAGTATTGACATGCTGCAAGTGTCTAGAAACAGATTCACACGAGTAATCGTATCGGCTATATGGTTTCTGTTTCTTACTTTTGTAGGATTGTAGCATTGCAGCGTGATATGCAAAAATCTTAGGCAGTACTAAATTCTACGACACTGAGTTCTGAATTTCCCAGCTTATATACAGAAACATAATTTATATCTGCTTGATTTGATTTTCTACTCAGTCAGGAACACAAATATGAAATAATATAGCAAATACAGTAGTTACTTGTCCAAAAATGTATAACTGCCATTTAATTTCCCTTGGCACTTAAACTGATACATAACAAATGATTGGAGAGTTATGTTTCTATTAAAGTAAAGTAGTAAAGCCATACCACATCAAATTCTTTAGGGTGAGTGAGCATGTAAATGCGAGCGTCAGCAAGATGTGACACCACCTTCGAAGATGCAAGAATGCCATTGTGATAGATATTTCTCTTACAGGATTCTATAGCAACTGCAGTTAATCAAACACATGTTTAGCATCATCAGACATAAAATAGGGTGTTATTTCCAAGGACTCAAAAGATTTCTGAAAAGTCATCTGCAACATTCTGACAGAGATATCAGAATGTACCTTCATTATTGTCAAGAGCTATAACTTCCCCAATTCCATCCACCTCAAGTGCATATCGGATAGCTCTTAATCCTGATGCAGCCAAAGCCTACAAAATTCATGATAAGAAGGATCTGAAGTGAAAAGATCAGCATTGTTTATGCAAATACTACTGCCGTAGGTTATATACATGATTTAAAAATGGGAGAACTTCCAGAAGAAATATACTATATCATAGCTCATCACAGCTTGCACTGATCATTATTAAACAACAGGACTTCATAAATGCACCTCAAGAACTTTAGGTGCTTTAAGGCTCGATTCCTCTCTCAATGCAGTGTCTTCAGAACCTGTGGTAGCAGTGTCTAATCCATCGGCATGCTGCTCCGCTGGTATCTCAGCACGCCTGCCTGCTTCATCACAGAAATCGCTCAAGCATTTGTGTACCTTTTAAAAGGAAAAGGTTTGTAAACTAGCAGTGCGAATTGTGTTCAAACGAATACCTTTTAATTGGGTATCATGCTCTTCCTGTCTTTTCGAAATAAACCATCTCAAAACAGCAATGGAAAGGTCTCTGTTGTTAACCTGGTGAGAATCGAATTCATAAGTACAAACAACTTGAACATATTTCATAGCTACCATCAGACGAAAATTCATATTTCCAAAGGAAATACTGGATAGCGGCTACAGTAGATTGTTCTTTTGTGAGTTGTGGTGGAGCTACAGCAGCCATGGGTTCAGCTAACGTGTCAGGAATATTCTGGCCAGACATAATAGCTTATTTAGTCTGTAATTCTTGCAGTTCTAATGAAATGAGATGCTCAGCACATCAGTGGCCGAAATCATCAAATAGGCAACCAATTATTTTCCTGGAAGGAACGACTGCACTGCACTACTGTCCATGCAACCATCAGGTGAAGCAGCAATGGCATCAGCGGATCAGCCTGACAACAGAAAATCAAATCTACAGCACACGTAGACAGGAAGCAAAGGAGGCGAGACCTGAGCCTTGTTGAAGAAGACCGAATTGGACTTGTCCGCGAATATCTCCGCCCGCCCTTCCCTGACGGTCTCCGGGCCCGCGGCTATCTCCGGCGGCTCCGAGGCGAAGGCGGAGGCGGAGGCGGAGGAGCAGGGACAGGAGGCGAACCAGAGGCTGAGGACGCGATTTGTGGAGGAATGCACGCGCGTGTTGAGGAAGCGAGAGAAACCACATGCTATGGTCATCGAACCGCCCGAGGACGCCGCATGGGGAGGAAGGAGTCGCGACGGCGAGCGGGCGGACGGAGGCGGCCGTCGACCTTGGGGCGCCGGAACAGTGTACTTCTTGGATAACAGGGGGGGAGTGCTTGCTGCGTCTGCGGGTGCGGGTTCGGGCTGGCTGGGCCACCTCGTCAATGGGCCATCGGCTCTTTTAACCGAGCCCAAAATTCACCTGTTAATCAAGTATTTGAAACCACTCAAAAAAAATCAAGTATTTGAAATTTTCTTTCCCTAAAAAAGAAAGTATTTGAAATTTTCTAAAAAATCAAGTATTTGAAAAATGTTAAATGTGTTTATAAAAAATTTTGACCATGTGTTAAAAAATGTTAATCATGTACTCCCTCTGTCCCAAAATAAGTGACTCAACTTTGTACTAACTTTGCACTAAAGCTAGTACAAAGTTGAGTCACTTATTTTGGAACGGAGGGAGTATTTAAATTTTTTTTAATAAAGCATTTGAATTTTTCTAAATATGTATGAAAAAAATATTGATCATGTATTAAAAAAATGTTAATCAAACATTTAAAAAAAAGTTAAGTGTGTATACAAAAAATGTTGACATGTATTAAAAAATGTAAAACTTGAATTTGATTAGATATATACCAAAAACATACAGTGTGCACAGAAAAAAGCAGACATCCAAAAAGTAAGTTTTCAAAAAGTTAGTCATGTATTTAAAAATGTTAAACATGTATATAAAAATGTTTCTGATGTATATAAAATGTTGAATCTGTACTTAAAAAGATGTATTGAATAAAAAAGAATCGATGAAAATCAATAAAAAGTAAAGAAAAACAAAGAAGACAAAAACAAAAGAATGAAAAACCAAAGAAACCAATTCAAATTAATGAAAGCGAGAAAACTAATGAAAACAAAGAAAAACGAAGAAAGAAAGCAGAGGTACATGGGAGGAGAGCTGGGCATGGGCGGCAGGTCACCACGAGGCTGAGAAGATGACAAGGGCGTCAGCGATTGAGGCTCTCCGGTTTCCATCGACGACCTCATAAATCTCCAGCGTCCCCGGTCTCACTCATGCAGCCCCACACGCGTCCTACTCCATTCACTCCCGTGTGCCTGGTCGTGCTCTGGGCGAGCACCCGCCACGCCCTGGCTCTGTCCCGTCCGCGCCACCGCTTTGTTGACCGGACTTGGGCCAGCCGGTTTAGTTAGCTGCTGGTTTTGACCAAAGTATTATCAAGGATGAAAATATCCAGTTTAATTAGTCGAGGGACTAAGTTTTGATGATTTTGAAGTTGAGCGACGATTTTTAAACTTCCGGAAGAGTTTAAGGACGAAAAATATGTGTTTTCCTTCTTTTAAATCCTAAATTAAGTGAGTTTTTTTGTATGCTTTGTTGAATTTCAACAAAAAATTATTATTGGAAGGATTGAAGAACAACTCAGTTGGCACTAATTATCTTGAGGTTTTAGATAGATATACAAGTATACAACAGATCCGCCAAAGATTTCAGGCAAACAAATTTTCCATGTCACTTGCAATTTTTCAAGCATGAAGGCAGCTATTCCAAATTGATGTGGATTACATGTAGAGGCAAGAAGCTAATCAACATAGGTACTCGATCCAACAGACCGATCGATCAATCACTCGATCAGTAGTTTAATTTACGATGGATCGGTAGGTCTTGTCGGCCTGCCAGCCGGAGGGGATCACGTCGCTGGCGACGAGTTCCTTGCCGGCGCTGGTGGTGAGGCGGATCGATATGGGCGCCTGCAGGGTGGGCTCGGAGCTGTACTTCCACACCGCGCCCAACAACTGCTGCATCGGTGCCCAGCTACGGCCGCGCTGCTGAAGCTCCACCGTCGACAGGTCATCGTCGCCGGACTCGTGGTTGATGAGCACCGCGAGATAGTTCAGCCCGCGCCACTTGCATGGAACCCTGCGGCCGAAGAAATCAAAGAGGTGATACAATCAATCTGTTGAGCAGTTGCGAACCAACCTGTGGTTGGATGGTTAGAGGGACTGTGGTATCCTCAGCTCACATTTATTCCTGAATTTATTTCAGGATTTCCGGCGATGTGCATTCAGTGGGAGGAGACGTTCCCGTAAATCCTGGTGAAAACATTCAGTAGGAGACGTTCCCGAAGATGCCTACGATGACTTCGTAAATTTTAAGATGATATGTCGGCTCAGTCTTTCGGAGGTGCTCATAGGGATAGGATGTGCATGTGTGCATTTATAGGGGTGAGTGTATGCGCGTGTATATGAGCGCTTGTGTCTGTTACTGATGTTCAAAAAAAAACTATTGAGCAGTTGATCACACGAACATGCATGGAGGTGGAGCGGACCACTGGGCATGAGTGCGTGCGCCAGCTAACTAGCGAGAGCATACCGGTGGTACTGGACCCTAATGTCGCCGGCGTCGCGGAGGTTGTCGGCTTGGCCGGGCTTCGCCATGGCATCGAACGCCTTGCCGCTGAGGTTGAAGTGGGCAGCCTCGGCCAGACACGCCTCGCCGCCGGGGCACAGATCTGTGACGACCACGGTCACCGGGCGGCCGAAGCAAGGGGCATTCCCGGTGCATTTAACCTGATAGCAAACGCCGCAGCCCTTGCCGTCCTTGAAGATGGAGGGGCCGCCCGCCGCGATCATGGAGGAGAACGGCGGCTTCTCCACGTCGTCCTGGTACCCGCACGCACCACCTGCAGCACGCTCGTGCACTTGTCAGTACTTAGTACACATAAATAGCTGCTGTATACACGGAGGGGAATTTTTGGTCTATGGAGACATATGCACCTTATATGAAAAAAAATTAGAAATTCAACAAAAAGTCAAAAATTTCTGAAAATATTTTTGAAATAAACTTGACCTTTACTCGTGAGAAAAAAATCCAGAAAAAAATATCCATTTGACTTCTTTTCGAAAAAGACAATTTTTTTGGCTAAAATAGTGTGAACAGTGACCTATAATAGCAAATATTTTTTGTCTTTTTGCTATGAGGTCAACTTTGGTTTTTTTGGTCGAGATTTATATACTAGTGCAAAAATAAGTTAAGTGTTTTGTCAAAATAGTTCTTACCTATTTTGACTTTTTATTAAAATATTAAAAAAATCCCCATATAGGATACATATACAATGAGGAACCAAAGTGTATTTCCCCTGTATACACGTCCCAGCATGCATTCATGCACCCTTATCATGGAGGTCTGCATGCATCGCCATGCGACCAGATACCTGCCGCCGGTGCCGGCGCCTTGGCGGAGATCATACCACGTTGCGCCGCTGTCCAACCAACCTGAGACGCTGCGTGAATGGAGGAGGAGAAGGCAGCTAAAATGAATAATCACATAAAATTTTGGCCTAAAAAATGAAGAAATTTATAATCACATAAAATGAAGAAATGATTCTAAAATAACATAAAATGAAGAAATGTTCCTAAAAAACATAAAATGAATAAATATCCCTAAAAAACACAAAATGAAGAAACAATGTCTCAAAACAAACAAAATGAAGAAACATGTGCCAAGTATTGGTAGTACTACCTCTGGGTGTTTCTTTACTCTGCATATAAGTGGTGTGTGAAGTCAAACTTTGTAATATTTGATCAATATTATAGAAAACAAAATTAACATTCAAAATATATAAAAAAATGTCATTAGATGAATCATGAAATTAATTCTCATATTGTATATCTTTATTATTGTAGATGTTAATATTTTTAATATAAATTTGATCAAACTTTATGAAGTTTGACTCAAGAAAAATCTTATACGTGGAGTACAAAGAAACCGAGGGAGTACAAAACATCACGCTACGGTTTTTCCTCTCGGGCCCGGGAGGGTGGGGGCGAGGGTAGAAACCCTAGTCGCTGCAAGAGAGTTCCTTCCGCCGCCTTCCTTCGGCGGCTTCCCTCTATCCACGACCTCGGTCGTTGATGGTGAGAGGGGTCGCCGGATTTATGCGTGCGGATCATGTAGCTTTAGGTTAGGCCCTAGTAGCTTGGGTTTTTTGGTCGTTCTTTGTCTTGGCTTCAGTGGCGATGATGGCGGCGCTGAATAAAGAAGCTTCGGATCCTTCCCCAATGAGGCCATCAGTCCTATGGTTGGGGATATATTTGGGAACTAGTTTGTTCAAGTGGGGATGTTGTAGCGGCGGCGGCATCCTTGTGGTGGACATGTGTCCTCGGGCTCCGCCGTTGCGACAGCGTCTGCTCCAACGTCAGCGCGGAGCTTGGGAGGTAGTCCAGGAGCAGATGCAGATTGTGGTATGCATCGGCGATATTTGGAAGACGGAACGTGTGCTGGGGTTGTGGTTGGTGGATGATAGGTATGGGTTCCTTCTTCGGCGTCTTAGTCAAGGTGGGGTGCCAGATCTGGAGTTCAATGGTGTGTCCGGGGTGTTGCTCTATTCTGATTCATTCAACGACAATGGCTTCACTTTTGGTGAGCCACCTTGGAGGTCCGCAAAGCCGCATATCAGCGATGAAGCCACGTCGAGCTTGGGTGAGGAGGTGATCTGTCATTTTTTTTCTTTGGTGGCTGCTATGGTTGTGCTGGAGGCAGGTGAAGGGCTTTGGTGTCAAGCTCAGAGATGTTCTGTTGTCTTTTCAGTTTTGTCATGTTGCTCTTTACGTGGCTTGTATTTTGATCTTTATGATATGAATGAGACGTGCATTACCATGCAAAAGAAAAACATCGCGCTACGGCTCGCCCCCGAGCCGCTCGTGCACCTATGTCCCTAGTGTCATCGTCGGCTCACACCACCAGGAAAAGGCAGCCCTGTCAGCATTGTTAGTTCATGCCACGGGGCAAAACCCTGCTTGCGGTGGGCGCCTAGAGGGTGGCGCGCAGGTGCTTTGAACTTGCGTTTCTGCTTCGGTGCTCCCCTCTCCCCCCGCTGCATCGTCTTCCTCTCCTCTCCCACCGTATCCTCTCCCACCGCGCCATCTCCCTCTCCCCCACTGCATCCTCTCCATCACCTCCATTGCCATGGAGGACGGACGTCGTG